TTCTCATTGGACGTATGGCAGCCTGCACCTATGTGACACCACATGCACATCTCCATGTGCACTGTCTTCAAGCTTGGCTCCTCTCCATCTACAGACCCAACAGAGACCATATAGACTCCAAGGTCAGCCTTCCCGAGACGGGGCTGTCCTCCCTCATATGGTGGTCTAATCCCTCCAAGGTCATGATTGGCACCCCCTTTTCCCATCCCACACTGCAGACCACCACAACGGACACCTCCCTGGTGGGTTAGGAGCCCACCTAGGCCACCACACAGCTCAGGGTGTGTGTATGCCATGGGAAGCCAGGATGCGCATAAACTTGTTGGAACTGCAGGCAGTCTGTTTGGCATGCCAGGCCTTCCTCCTGCTCATTCAATCCCTCCGTGTTCAACTGCTCTCCAAAAACATTGCAGCAATAGTATATATCAACAAGCAGGGTGGTACCCTCTGCTCCGAGTTAATCTGGCTTTGGAACTGGTGCATCAAGAACCACATGACACTTCAAGTCGCCTACCTACTGGGTACCCACAATTCCCTGGCCGACACCTCAGCAGGATGCCTTACCTCAATCCCAAGTGGGAGCTACACAACACCATGCTCATGTATCTCTTCATGGCACAAAGAGTCCCCCCCATGACACCTCTTTGCTACTGATAAGAACAGAAAGCTGCCCCTCTATTGCTCAGGTGAAGCACTAGGGGAGGGCTCTCAGGGCTGTGCTCTTCTCCTCCCCTGGACAGGCGACCTCCACTATGCCTTTCCCCCCATTTCGGGCCCTCTTCACCTTCCAGTCTTGGATTTGGATGGGCATAGAGGGTAGACCGTGCATGTTCTACCCTGGTTTGACAAATCCTTACCCAGAGCAGAGAGAATTCACCAGAGCCTGCTACCGAGCTAAATGGAGATGCTTCACAGCCAGTCACTGAGCATAGTGTCTCTTCCAGTCATCCTCCACTACCTCCTCACCTTGAAGACGTAAGGCCTGGTCCTCAATTCTTTTTCAGTTCACCTAGCAGCACTCAGTGCCTTTCTCCCTCCTGTGGATGGAGCCTTAGTGTTTACTACCCACCACTATCTGCCTCATGAAAGGTTTACTCATCACTTTTCCACCAATACTGACTCCCACACCACCATGAGATCTTAGTCTTATTCTTTCTGCCCTCACAAAGCTACCTTTTGAGCCGCAAGCAATATGCTCCCTCTCCTACCTCTAAATGAAAGTGACTTTCTTAGTAGCCATTACCTCAGCCAGACGAGTCAGTGAACTCACGGTCATAATGGCAGACCCTGCATCTCCAATGGATCTCGGGGTGCATCCATGAATCCAGTCCAACATACCCCTGGCTGATAGAATCATGGCACACAATTCGTGAGTGCAAGCTGCCATATTGGCCTCACTGGCTGAAATGTCCTGGCAAGACATCTTTCGTGCAGCAACATGGTGTGCCATCCACACGTTCACGACACACCTACGCCATCACACAAGCAGCAGTTACAGATGCTGCTGTGGGCCAGGCTGTATTGTAGACCACACTTCATCCACCGGCATCCTCGTACCCACCTCCACGCTGATCACTGCTCGTGAGTCATCCACGTATACAATACACGTAGGAACTAAGAAGAAGAGGTTACTTACCAGTAACTAGAGGTTCTTTGAGATGTGTGGTTTCTATCTGTATTCCACTACCTGCCCTTCAATTCCCTCTGCTTCAGACTGGATTCCATTACAGTAAGGAGGAAACTGGAGAGGCATTGACCCGCACTACATTATACCTTCGGCTGGGAACATGAGGAAAGGCACCATGTATGTGCGAGTCAACAGACACTGCTAAAAAATGCTTCCAGACTCTGGCACATAGCATAGTGCACCCACGTGTGGAATACAGTTAGGGACCATGCATCTCAAAGAACCTCCAATTACAGGTAAGTGGCCTTCTCTTTTGGTTCTCTGGCAGTTCTGAAAAAAACCCCAAAAATTCAGATTGTGTTGAACCGAATCCAAACTTCAGTGACTTGAAAAAGTCCATTGCAGATGAAATGAAGTGTTTTGTTCAATCTAAACTGTTTTGTGTCCAGGCATTTTTAAATGCCTACACTCACATATAAAATAGTAGTACTGGCCCAGTGGTTAGAGTACTCACCTGAGATGTGGGAGACCCAGGTTTGAATCCACCTACTGGAATCTCCCCATTCCTAAAAGGGTGCCTTAACCACTGTGCTAATGGTTATGCTGGAATGGGTCTCTCTCAGTTTCTCCTGTAGAAGCTATATAGTCTCTATAAATAATTAGTCATTGGAGCAGGGACTTCAACTTGGCTCTTATGCCACCTAGGGAACATTTATAGTTTAATTCATTAAAATTGCAATTATAACAATTTTCAAACTAGATTTGAGACTCTGTAAAACTGTGCTTAAAATGGGATTTAAAGACCTTTTGAACAGCAGGTTTTTTAAAACCCTGGACTATTACTGATTTGAAAGCTACACAGAAAACATCATTACTTTGTTTTACCATAACTCAAAATGTTATGGTCAAAAGCAAGAGCATGATCAATTTCACTCCAAAGAAGTCCAGTTATTTAAGACCTAAGCCAGACAATTTTATTGGCAGAGTAGATTTCCTGTGGATTTTATTATTTATTCAAAGCCATTTCAGTCACGCAATCCATTGATTTCTAGATACAGGCACTATGTGAAAATAGATATGGAGACAAAACTTGGTAATTATCAGAAATGCTCACATGTTCAGAGCTGGAATGGGTACAGGAACATTGTAGTTGGACCTCAGCTTTTACCACATCAAAAACTGAACCTCCAAAGAAGTTGCCTGATTTGAGGAGGCAATGATAATCCAAAAATGTCTAATCCACTTACTCCCTTTTGGGAGATAGGATTTCTCCTCTCCTCTCCTCCCACTTCGTTTTGCGGCAAATTCTTACAAGCAGGGAAGACATAATGTTGAGTTAATGATAGCAGCAGATACTGGGAACCAGGACTCCTGAATTCTGTGCCAGATTCTGAAAAGGGCTCAGTATGTGGCTTTGATCAATTAATTTAGCCTGTGCCTCATTTTACTCATTTGTAAAATGTGGAGAATAATACATTACAGGGTGAGTTGCTAAATATTAATTAAATGCTTTCAGTTCCTTTACTAAAAGGTTGCTATACATACAAGCGTGAATATTAGTAAAGTATTATGGACCTGATTCTGCTTTCATTGAAGTCAATAGCAAAATGCCTTTGGACTTCAGTGGTGCAGGACAGGCTGTGTGTGACCAAATCTCCTTTAAAGGGAAAGGCCTCGTATATCTGTAATATGGGTATATGTATGGAAATCTTATTTTAGGAAGGGGGTTGGGGAATTTCTGATCTAGTTGCAAGTCATGTAAAGAAAGTTTAGTCTAAAAATGGAAAGAATAATGAACTACTAGTAACCTGAGGCTATGTCTTTGGAAGGTACTTTAATGATGAAGTTATTACTATCAAGAAACCCAGGGAGACAGCCCCACTTTCTTGGCTAGCTGATCACAAACAGGCTTAAAGGAAGAGCTTCTTAAGATAGAAGGATAAAAAATACTTTTAGCCATTAAAGTTTCTTAAAAGCACCCTGCTGGACTTAAAAAGCAACACTGTTAACCAGAAAAGGCTTTAAAATAAACCACAAAAAGCTGTGAGGAAGATTAGAAATGCTGGAAGAACAGATGATGATTAAAAAGGAATGCAGTAGGCTGAGGAAGGTGTAGACTGCTGGAATTAAGATAACGTTTCAATGCATTTTAAAAAGGGGAATCACGAGAGAATGCTTTAATAGGATAACCTAAGTTTGTTATATCTCCAAGTGGGTAGAGATGGAAATGGCCCCAAAGTAGTTTGTTAGTATATCTGAAGTAATACCAAGTTTATATTCTGGAACAGCAATATGGAATTATAAGGAATCAGTATTATATGAACTGTCTGCAAGCATTAGGACATATAGCTACCAGAATAATTTCTTATACTACTACTATTTTGTACTTATCTAGTGCCTTCCATCTGAAGAATTGCAGCACTTTAATTCATCATTTTGATGAATTAAGTCTTATTAAAATCCCAGTTACTTTTCAAGTATTAGCCACACTTTATAGATGGGGAAACTGAGGCAGCAAGCAATTAAGTGACTTCCCCTAGACCATCCAAGAAATGCTAATGATAGTGAACAGCTTCTTTTCCAGGACCACAGATTGCACATCTTTCCAGATTTGGCAAGGGCTGGGCAATGAAGACGATTAGATGGATCCAGGTATCAGTATTTCAGGAGTGTGCGGTACCCAGAGACATTCCTATACCCTACAAAACTGAGCATCAAAGCTCGAGTGGAATCAGGTCAATAACCTGTGTTCCCTCTAAGCTGCGCGGTTGGGCGGCCTCCTAGGAGAGATTCAAGCACTGCCCACTTGATTAGCAGAGCCACGCACATCCGGCAGCATGTTTTCAGGTGCTCCTCCTTCCCACTGCTTTGCAGCCAAATTGCTCCTGCAGCTTCTCCCAGGACCCTCCTGCTGGCTGTGCAGAGCTGGGGGGAAGCAGGTGCTGATATCAGAGTGTTTTCCAGCCCCTGTACCCCATCTCCACAGAGCAGGGGAAAGGGGACAGGGCTCAGGACTTGCGGCAGCTCTGAGGTCTGAACAAGCCATCTGGTGAGTAACAGCCTTAAAGAGACAGCACATAGTCTCTGAGACTTCCCCAGCAATCAGCACATACAATCTCTCTCACGCATGCACGCAGGCAGAGGTGCTGGAACTAGGGGTGCTGGCCTGGTTTGAAGTGGCTTCCATTATATACAGGGTTTACAGTCTGGTTCAATGGCTCTCAGCACCCCCACGACATACACTGTTCCAACCCTCCTGTGTGCACACTCTCACACAGTCTGTGTGTCCCAGGCGTGCATACAGTCTCTGTGTCACAGTGTGTGTGTGTGTCTTTTTCTCTCTCTCTCACACACACACACACACACACACAGTCTCTGTATCACACATCTCCCAACACCTACTTAATTATTGTTGTTGTTGTTACTTGGTACTTCCTGCAGTGCACATATATTCTCTGTAATTTTATCTTTCAACGTGTGTTATTTTAGTGTTTTGACTGGTCTATGCATTTCATAATTTTTATTTCTCTTTCATAAAATTTATTACACTTTTATATTTTAATTATTTGACCAGTGAGTTCTAAAATGCGTAACCTGTCCTGGCTGGAGTAATTATCCCTACTGGTAACTTTTAAAAAATATATATCTAGGTTTTTTGTTTCTACTGGTGGTGCAGATTCCGCACATTACCTTGGTGCAAATAACAAAATTTATTCCGCACATGGGTGAAAAAATTAAAGGGAACATTATCAACAATCCAGGGTGGGGTTTTTTTGGTTTTTATTTTTTTGAGGCTAGTACGGCTGTCTAGATTGTTGTTGTTGTTAATTTAAAAGCTCAGAAGTCCCTAACCTTTATGATTGCAGAGACAACCTCCAAATCAAGTGCAACCGATGCTGTGACACTTGTTGAATTTGAGAATGCTGCCATATATAAGCCTTGAGCTCCCAGCATCCTTCACATTTATGTCAATGGAACTACAAGGTATGTGTGGCTTTGAGAATATTGAATATAGGTAGGACATGCCCTAAAAGCAATGAAAATGTATCTTAGACATGACCCATTTTCATAACTTATTTTTCTTCTTTGAGTGATAGTCCATATTGTATTCCACTGTGGGCTACACATATCACCTGTGTGCCCGGAACCAGAGGATTTGAAAGTAGTGTTAGTTGGTCCACGCATGCACGCTCGCTCACCTTGTGCCTCTGACTGAGGGGATAAAGAGCGGGGTGGACCAACCGCCTCTCCAGTTCCTTCTCCTGCCACATGGTCCAGGTTGGAACCTATCTGTAGCTTCATCTTCATCCCTGAAGAGAATATTTAACTTTGTTTTAGCATCTTGTACAGTTAACAGTTTTAATGATTCCATAGTTTTAGTGCTGGATTAATCTACAGGGGAACACTTCCCCTTCCCCACCCCATACCCTGTGCGGGTATTGGACTATAGGCTTTAAACTCTGTGCTTCCTGGCCATGATCCTTCTCGGTCACAACAACCTCCAGCGCTGCCTGTATGGCTTTGGGGAAGCTCACACTGCAGTGAGGTGTAGTATTTGCTGCTCATTCCCCAGCCATACCCGAGAAGGACAGGAACTCCACCTTTGAAAATGCCTCATGGAAAAGACCATATGGCCTCCATCAGACCCAGGCTGGGAACTCCCCGCCCCCTATATTGACCTGATTCAGCAAGAGGTAAGCCTCCTGCTGCTAAGTCCAACGCTGGTGCCAGAGAATCTACCCTCAGACACCCCTGGCGGAATCTTCTCGGGAACACAGGAAGCACTGTCATAATGAGACCAAGTCTTCCTCCAAATCCACTTCAAAGAAATCTGATTTGGCTCTGAGCAAGCCCAGCATCTCAGTCCAAGCAGACTTAGTACGTTTTAAGTCCCCGAGGCTTAACAAAAAAGCCCATAAACATCAGGCTCCATTGGTACCAGAATGTGATCCATTGGTACCGTCACCCTTGGCACCTCCCAACCCTTGGAATCCACTGGCACTGATTAAGACCATTCATCGCCTATCCGTGGCACTGTTTTCAACAGTACTCTCTCTGGCTCCAGTGGTCTAAGCAGAGACAACCCCTTTCACACCAGGAAAAACTGAATACCATGCCACTTCATAGGACATCTTTGCACTGTTGGATCCAGAATCCCTTCCATAGGGTCCATTCCTTTCCAGCAATATCATAACACTCAGGAGAGTCAACCACTTGAATACATTTATCGCCTGTTCCTTCCTCGAGTTACAACTTCCCTCCAGCCGCACTGATGGTACCATATCTGGAACAGGTATTAGCTTTCTTCTCATCGGGAGATTCTGAACCACCCAAGGAGTCTTCATTTTCTTATCCTATGTAGCCTCAACTGCCCAAAAGACTTACACAAGCTTGGGACAAACCCTTGCATTTAGCTCAAACCCAATTTTTTCAATCTTCCCTCATAAGTCATGTTTTCTAGTGCTTTAATCATATTTATTGCTCTTCTCTGGACTTTCTCCAATTTCTCCACATCTTTCCTGAAATGTGGCGCCCAGAACTGGACATGATACTCCAAGTGAGGCCTAATCAGCATGCAGTAGAGCAGAAGAATTATTTCTCGTGTCTTGCTTACAACACTCCTGCTAATACATCCTAGAATGATGTTTGCTTTTTTTGCAACAGTACTACACTGTTGACTCATATTTAGCTTGTGGTCCACTACAACCCCCTGATCCCTTTCCACAGTACTCCTTCCTAGGCATTCATTTCCCATTTTGTATGTGTGCAACTGATTGTTCCTTCCTAAGTGGAGTACTTTGCATTTTTCCTTATTGAATTTCATCCTATTTACTTCAGACCATTTCTCCAGTTTGTCCAGATCATTTTGAATTATAATCCTATTCTCCAAAGCACTTGCAACCTGCCAGCTTGGCACTGTCCGCAAACTTTGTAAGTGTACTCTCTATGCCATTATCTAAATCATTGATGAAGATATTGAACAGATCTGGACCCAAAACTGATCCCTGTGGGACTCCAATCATTATGCCCATATAGTCCAAAATGACATCTATCTTTTTTGCAACAGCCTCACACTACTGACTCATATCCATTATAATCCCCATATCCTTTTCTGCAGTACTGTAGCCTAGCCAGTTTGTTCCCATTTTGTATTTGTACATTTGATTTTCCCTTCCTAAGTGTAGTACTTTGCATTTGCTTTAATAAAATTTCCTCTGTTTAAATTCTCCAATTTATCGAGATCACTTTGAGTTCTATTCAAAAACAATGCTCTTCATGCTCACTCAGCCCCCTGGCGCAGACACCAGACAGTTGTACTTGGCTTGAAGCACAATGTGGTTGATATACCATCTTGTGATTGGCAAAGAGTGTGGTATTTTCCATGTTTTACTGAAGTATTATTAGTATTGTACACTACATTAACCAGACAATTGGCAGTCAAGCTTCCTTACAGATTCCCAGAAACCCTGTCTGTTCTTACTCACATCTCAGTGGCAGTCAAGTGTCTTTCATCTGTTTTACAACAGCAGAAGAAATATTAAGAACAACAATAGTCTCACTTGACAGTTGCATTCTTTCAAACGCTGTTCAATATCATTTCAATCAAACAAAGTATAGCTGATCTGCTACAGTGGGCAGTTCTGGCCATCACAGTCATAAAAGTCTTTGTTAGGATCTTTCTTTCTCTTTGAGGAAGATAGATGATGATGCAGGATACCAGTGGATCGTCTCTGTAAAGGGGTCAATAAGTTTTCTTAAGAATATATTGTGATAAAGTTCCTCCTCTGCTTTGTTGGGTTCTGTCCTTTCTGGCGGATCTGCTTGCCTCAGAGGTTCATGGCAGTCCTCAGTTTGGCTCCTTTTGTTAGTGGCACAAACCTGCCATTCACTTGGCTAACCTCATCACTGGCCAGCATGGGGAAAAGGAGGAGAACAATCCCCGCAGTCTCTGCTGGCCCACCTAATGGGTCGGGGGACAGGCCATTCCCCTCTAGTGGGACCCATAGTCCAGATCAACTCCTCTTATATCAAGTGGGGGATGGGGGGAACCTGGGCCCGCCCTCTACTCCGGGTTCCAGCCCAGGGCCCTGTGGATTGCAGCTGTCTATAGTGTCTCCTGTAACAGCTGCGTGACAGCTACAACTCCCTGAGCTACTTCCCCTTCTTTATCCTCACCACAGGACCTTCCTCCTGATGTCTGACAATGCTTGCACTTCTCAGTCCTCCAGCAGTACACCTACTCACTCTCAGCTTCTTGCTCCCAGCTCCTCGCACGCACCTCACTAACTGAAGTGAGGTCCTTTTAAAACCAGGTGCCCTAATTAGCCTGTCTGTCCTAATTGATTCTGGTAACTTCTTTATTGGCTCCAGGTGTCCTAATTAGCCTGCCTTAATTGGTTCCAGCAACTTCCAGATTGTTCTGGAACAGCCCATTATCTTAGGGAAAAGGGACCTGCTTAATCTGGGGCTAATATATCTACCTTCTATCACTCTCCTGTAGCCATCTGGCCTGACCCCGCCACAAAATGTAAAGTTACTAAGAAGGATGAACATTACAATCAGATGTGTACCAACTATAAAAGATCTGGCCAAGAAAACATCACAGAAGCCTTTTGACAGACATCCAAAGATTTCCTTAGACTATTAGAAAATGTCTCTATTATTATGGCTATTTATTGGAAAATGTTTTTCTGAACCTCTTATCAACCAAGAATGATCTACTGAGGGATTTAACTGAGGAGAGAGCCCAACCTTTGCATGACACACAGATGGGCACTTAAACTTGTTAACTACAGATGAGTTCTCCATTTTGAAAGAGAAGGAGGAGAAATAAACACAAGGCACCAGGGCATTGTGTGTCCACTCACAGCATGTCTGTGTTTTGTCTCTGAGAAACAGAGATGCGGATATGTTTAAAGGATTTAAGTGGTTTCTTTAACTTCTGTAAGTCTCTGCCTTAAGTTTTCTGTATTACACTGAATCTAATGTAAATGCATATGGACAAAATACTGTCTATACATTTTACTGAAAGTGAATACTACACTTGCATCATAGTGTAACATTTACAAGTCTTTACATGATTCAAATGAAATCCTAGACATCCGATATGTCTGAAGGGTAGCAATATGTAAATAAGGTCCAGAACCAACCAACCAAGATGTTCAGAGCTTCAGCTATCCCTAGCTATTATCAGGGAGAGGTAGGGTAGATTTAAATCACTAGTCAGGAAGACTCTATTTAATCATGGATTTCTACATAAAAGTGCATTCTTGTTGGCTGTTATAACCTTAATACATATTTTTCACAACTTAGAGATAGATATAGGTTTAATTTTTAGAAGGTACACACTATACATTTTTAAAGTGATTTATTTTGTAAACTTTTCAGATTAGTTTTACAGCTATATCAGAAAATGAATGATTGTTTGGTTATTTCATTTACCAAAGGTAATTGAAGCAGATATTTATGAAGTCATTGGGAGATGAACTATCTCCAATTCAACAGGTTAATCATTAATATTTGGAGGATTTTCTTGCCATGCTGTTTTAGGAGGAGAACATCACTCTTAGAGAAGAATGAGAGGTTGACCCAGAGGCGGATTTGAGAACTGGCTTCTTTATTGGGATACTTGTTCCCCTGAACCCAATTGTCGAGTAAGCACTGGATTAGTTCTATCATGCTTCTTTTATTTAAGTTAGTATGTAAATGCCTACAGCTGCTCAAACCCCTAAAACTCTTAAGTAATAATTGCTATAATTGTTGCTACAAGTTCCCTTAATCAGCAGTTCTCAGGGGAGGGAGGAAGGGGCCATGACCCTGAGCTCGTTTATGTAGCTGGGAAAGAAAGGGAGGGGATATAACACTTCTTTACACAAAGGTATCCTTTAGACAACTACGTTTCTTATGCAACCGCAACACTTATTTATTCCCAACAAGATGAAGGGGACGGCAAGGGATAACACTTATTCTATCAAGCAAAGAAATGGTCCCTGCCTGTGACTCTACTCCTTAATACCATACCAGCACACCAGCGGTTTCCCAGGTCTCTACTTAATCCTTACATATCCCAACAATCACCAGACAGACATTTAATTGTTTTATTTAACTAAAACAACAACGTTATGTATTCTGGATTTTTTTCTTCAACAGCAAACATAGAATATTTTAACAAAACAAGCATATGAATTTTTGAATTTAAACATTCACGTTTTTTTTAAAATCAGATTTGTTTGTGTTAAAATTGTTTTAACTTAAAATAGTTAAATGAAATATTTTAAAAAAATTAAATTGACTGTCAACCAGGTCAACATGAGAAACTTAAAGTATTGGCTTCTGCAGTTAACTCAGTCGTCTTCACCTTCATTTTCCTGTTTGTTCATATTCTGGAAAAGAAAAACAAGCTTTCCTGCTTTTTTAAGTCCCAAACAATTTGTCAATTTGGAATGAATTAGTCCAAAGGAAGAAAATATTCTTTCTACACTGGCAGAAGAAGCTACTGCTGTTAAAAGTGAGATTATCACTTCAACAGTCTCTGAATCCAAGTGCTTAAGTGATTTCCACCAGTTCACTGGTGTGACTTTCTTTAAAACATCATCAGCAAACATATTTCTTGAATGGTTCAGCCTTAGCTCTGAAGTTTATTATAGTTGGCATTATGGAGGGATGATTGCTGGATGTCCATGTCATAGCCAACTCCTCTTCTTCAGCAGTTTAAGTTTGACCCTAGTACCAAGTATTGAGAATATTTGCAAAAAAAAAAATGAGCTGGAGATAGTGCTTGTCCCATTCGTTGTTTTAATGCTTGTAATTTAACAGAGTAGCAGAGTTTCAGAGTAGCAGCCGTGTTAGTCTGTATTCGCAAAAAGAAAGAGTACTTGTGGCACCTTAGAGACTAACCAATTTATTTGAGCATAAGCTTTCATGAGCTACAGCTCACTTCATCGGTTGCATTCAGTGGAAAATACAGTGAGGAGACTTATATACACACAGAACATGAAAAAATGGGTGTTATCATACACACTGTAAGGAGAGTGATCACTTAAGATGAGCTATTACCAGCAGGAGAGCGGTGGGGGGGGGAGGGGAGAAAACCTTTTGTAGTGATAATCAAGGTGGGCCATTTCCAGCAGTTAACAAGAATGTCTGAGGAACGGGGGGGCGGGGGGGATAATAAATCTCCTCACCGTATTTTCCACTGAATTATTTTCCACTCAAATAAATTGGTTAGTCTCTAAGGTGCCATAAGTACTCCTTTTCTTTTTGTAATTTAACTCTGTCATTGTATATTTCTCTTTTTAAGATCTCACTCGGTTCCTTCCAAATTTCAACAGCATCAGAAATAAAACAGATATTTCCCTGCATTTTGTTCAAGGCTACAGAAATAGGCTTCAGGGTACTAAGCATGTGTTCAACATTTCTCTTAAGCCCAGTGTTGAGAACTTTGGCTGTGACAGTGCCATCTATTTTTTCACGATTTTGTTCACAAACTGTCATCAGATTAGGCCAGATCTTGATATAGTGTTAAAAACAGTCCACTACTGAGTTACATCGTGCGTCTTGTGGAAGAGTTACTTGTGGGAGAGTTAGTTCCTCCCACTTTTTTCAGAGCAGCTGCTGCAACGTGGTTGTTATGGAAGTATTTTGCAATTTCAACAACATTAGCCTTTATTTCTGGAACACTGAAGTCTTTGGCTAGGAGGTGCATCAAATGAGCACTGCAACCGTATGTTATTAGCTTGGGACTCTCTTCTCGCTCTTCTAAATTTCTTATTTTGGATACATTTGCAGCATTGTCTGTGACCAAGCTGCATACTAGATGTTTGAATTTTTTTCAGTTTGTTATAGCTTTTACTGCTGCTACTTGTAAGCATTCTGCTGTATGTGCATTTCCTGATGTATCAATTGTTTCTGCAAGGAAGACGTTCCCTTCTTCTGTTGTCACACAAGCACATACAACAGGATCATTGTGGACATTGCTCCAAGACTCAGGTTAACAGTTTTACCCTCTAGACCTTTTGCACACTGCTCAATTTCTCTTTCATATACTTTATCCAGCAATTTGCCTGCAACATCTGCTCTGTTGGGTTGACTGTATCCTGGTCTTAATGACTGAACCATGTTAATGACATGTGGGTTCTCAATCATATGGAAAGGAGAGTTTGTTGCATAAACAAACTGGGCAATGTTTTCATCAATTACCTCTTTTTGTAATCTACTGGATCTTATCACAAACTTATCTATGGTTGTTTCTGGATGATGGAGATTTTTTTTTTCATTTTTTCTACAGGTGATATACTGTGGCTATGTGACATACGTGATGTAACTGAAACACGATCGTTGGCAGATAACTCAAACTATAGAAAATGATGGTAATCTTGAAGGTGGATAGTCTTCAGAATCCTGTATGTTAAGGATGGATTCTCCGAAACAAAATAAGTCAATGCAGTTATTTAATTATTATTACCATACTCATTGCATTCACTGACACTCAGTACTACTTTAAAGGTGAAATTGTAAAAGGAAGATCTGCCTCTTTCAGCAATTTATTTTTTTAATCACAACTGCATGTAAAATGATAGTACCATAGAATAACAACTATACTTTTTGCTCAAACATGAGAATTCAAGAATAGTCCAGAAGGAAGACAGGCAGTCCTTAAGAAAGAAGTATGAAATAATAAAGTTTACCAATCTGAAGATCCTGCATGTTCAGACATGTTCCTTTCATGATCTTCAACGCAGCTACCTCCTGAGAAGGAACACTTCTCATGATGTTGTTTCATTTGGGCAACCAGGGCTTACATTTCTTTGTTGCACTGTTTGCATTTTGCACGCATGCCTGTCTTATCCACAGGTACAGGAACTTCATTAAAATATTCACAAACTGGGTCTCTTTTACGGCCTGCTGCCATTATAAGTTTTCCCTTCTAGTGAGAGAATGGTATGGTAGATCTCAAATCAATAAAGGTTACACTCAGAAAGACCTCAAGACTTCTGGAATAGGCTGCTCAGACAGTTTCACTTTTTTCTATTACCTGTCCCTCCCTTCTCACATTTATCTCCAGACTTATCCTTGTCCAGATCAATTACGCCCCCAACAATCTTCTATTCATTGAACTTTTTGAAACTTTGCACTTTTAGAGAGAGGTAAGGGATTGACTCTGTGTACACAAATTTGCGGAGGGACAATAGGGTTGAGGTCTGTTGTTTCTCACCTGTTGATATATTTATTTATTTTGAAACATTTTTGCTGTTAACAAGCATGTTATCTCTGGAGAGACAAATCCACAGTTTGAGAACGGCAAAACTAAGCATCTCTGATGGTATCTTCCAGACTGAGCACTGAGTCCCAGTGGGTAGATAGAAAGATTAACCTAAATAATCTATACAGAAGCCCCTGGAACCCCATAATATTGGATCCCTAATCCATGAACTATTGGAACTCATTTACAAAACTTTTCTTAAACATTACATGACTATATTGTCCCATACTATAGAATTAATAATCCCTATTCCATGATGAGATATCTTTGAGCTATAATGAATCTTAATTAAAATTATCTTAAGATAGGTTTTTTTTCCCCTCAAAAAAATCTGATTTAAATTTAAAAAAAAAATCCATTTTTTTAAATCATTGATTTTTAACCACCCTGGAGAGATAATAATCTACTGCATGTGGGTTCAGTAACTCAAGGGACTAACTAAAGTCAAAGGGCCCAATGCAGGCCACAGATAGACCTATACAGCCCTTCAGGAAATCACTGGAAGCTGTGCATGCATGTCTAAGGACAGAATGAAGCCCAGAAGGTCAAGATGAGAATGCAGCTTTGATAAGTTTTTTTTTCTGTAGTATTGAAACTCATATGTTCGTAGAGTGAATATCTGGTCTGTGCATCCACGCCCCTTCTGAAACTCATAGACTTTTGCTGGCTGGTAACAGCTCTTGTTGTATACAGTATGTCTTATTGCTTACTTTGAAGTCTCTTGACTCTCCCAGTGCCCAATTCTCAATTTTTTTTTATCCCCGCCCTTCCAGGACTTCATAAACTCTAAAACAGATAATCTCTCTGACCAGCTACATATACCTCAAAGTGGAGACATGGCAGGATACAAACCATTTGGTCACTGTTTTGTCCTATATAGTCTATCTCCCTTCCCTCTTCACTTCTGTGTATCTCTTCATCTTTCTCTCCCTAATGTTCTCTTTCCCTCTCTCACATCAGGCTAGCAGTGAGCAGTAGTCCAGCACTAAATGTCAACAATCATAGCACTACCGCCATATTGTGAACCTCAGAATGATGGTCACTTCACTCATTTGCACAGGCATCAGGAGTCAGCGCTATGCTGATGCCTTCTGTTGACCCAAAGTCCCTGTCTACACTAGTTTTTAATGATTTGTATCCAATTAGTGACCAGGTTGACTCAAAACATAGCTGTGTCCATATGTACACATTTACTTGTTTAGTAACCATGGCAACTAAATATATGTTCTATCATGGCCCAGAGGCTTAGGCAGCCACAGAGTTGTCCTCATATAACTCATTCAGCACAGTATATTTTGCAGTATAGACGGGACCCTCTGTGTCTGTATAACTGATCTGTCTGGTCAGCTTTTCCTCATAGCTTTCTTTACAGTGGACTATCTCAGAATACATTATTCCACATGCGGGTGGCACTTCTCTCTAAGTATCATCTCTGTATCTCTCCCTGCTGAGGTACTCTGGGAAAGCTGCCCAGATTTTCCTAGAATGCACAAAAAATAGTTGTATTGTGGGAGATGGTGAACTTTATACTGGTCACAAAATATGGTGGTGGTTGTACTGTGAAGACTGAGTGGTCCATCAATAGTTAAATCTGAAGTTGAGTGTGCCCAATGCAAATGGCTTGAGATTAAGAACTTTGACTTTACATATCAACTCCATAAATTCTCTGCAGAGGATATTCCTGGGTGCAAATAAACTTTCGTGTTTAAAACAGGTTAACTACCATTTTTAGTGTTCCTATCCCACTTTTATCTGTATTTACTTTCCTTTTCCCTCTGTAAGTACAGCAAAAAATGCGGTAATAACAACCTCTAAGGGGCAACCCCTAGCCTGTTTTAAAGGTCACTTCTAGAAGGAAAGCAATCTTTGCTGGTCACTTAAAATAGGTTCCACTGTAGCCTGTCTCTGAATTACAAATTTGTAATTCCATTATTGCTAAGAGAGTGATCATCACTTACAAAAGGTAACATTTTCTGATTATACCATTTTGAACTTCATCCAAAGATCAGGAAAACATGACCTTTGAAGAAAACACAAATAATTTGTCTTTTGCAAACAAAGAACATGGAATCAACTCCCTGTGATCTCTTTTAGGATAAAGCACCAGTGTGCACTCAACAGTTGAGACACAAAGGGAAATAATGAAATAGGCTGCTTGTAGGGGGATTATTTTTCCACAAATGCAGCAAACAAATTTAACAGTGATACAAAGAAAACTTTGCTGTAGATAAAGGCAAGTAAACTGAAAATCCTCAAACTTGCTGTACATCCCACAGACTCTGTAAGGATTACATGTGAACAGTAGCAGTTATTACTTTCTATTATCATTCTAGCCTTTTTTTGTATTTTTTTTTCAGGCTAATTATCGCTTAGTTTGGCAGAGCCTTTTGAGTTTAGAATCAGAATCATTTTGTCATCCTATGATGTGTTATGGAAACCGGCCCTAAGACAAGGCATTCTACATCTTCTACTTGCAATGTAATTGAATTCCTACACTATTATTTTATAGGTTTCAGAGTAACAGCCGTGTTAGTCTGTATTCGCAAAAAGAAAAGGAGTACTTGTGGCACCTTAGAGACTAACCAATTTATTTGAGCATAAGCTTTCGTGAGCTACAGCTCACTTCATCGGATGCATACTGTGGAAAGTGTAGAAGATCTTTTTATATACACACAAAGCATGAAAAAATACCTCCCCCCACCCCACTCTCCTGCTGGTAATAGCTTATCTAAAGTGATCACTCTATTTACAATGTGTATGATAATCAAGTTGGGCCATTTCCAGCACAAATCCAGGTTTTCTCCCCCCCCCCCCCACTCTTGTTCAACCCTGGATTTGTGCTGGATATGGCCCACCTTGATTATCATACACATTGTAAGGAGAGTGATCACTTTAGATAAGCTATTACTAGCAGGAGAGTGGGGTGGGGGGAGGTATTTTTTCATGCTTTGTGTGTATAAAAAGATCTTCTACACCTTCCACAGTATGCATCCGATGAAGTGAGCTGTAGCTCACGAAAGCTTATGCTCAAATAAATTGGTTAGTCTCTAAAGTGCCACAAGTACTCCTTTTCTTTTTACTATTTTATAGTTAACCTAAGTATGTGAATGTTTTACTTGTCTGTTTCACAATCACTGCACGGATAGGAGCTAAAATGGACAATTCACAGGATCCAAAGAGCATGATTTTTCATGAGTATGTTTATCAAAACCTCAATTGTAAGCCAAATTTGACCACTGTTCCTTCAGCAAAGCTAGTCTGGGAATTTCCTTTAACAGTGTTTTCATTCATATAACAAAAATAGCTCACTGATTTTCAATGGGAAGGCAGAAGCACTGCTGGTTATGCTGATAGAGCTTAACTTTCATGAAGAGGCAAGTTTTGGAAATCTTTTTAAAAAAAATCTTAAATATCTAATTTAAATGATGCAACATTAACGTTTTAACATATTAATATTAACTCTCCATTCACACATTTATCCAGTTTTTTCAGTTAGTCTGAAAAGCTAAACTGTGTGTTAGTTTCTCCTTTCAAGTATGTTTGATTTATCAACTTATTTTGGAACTGATTAAATGTCAAATCTGAAATAATTGTTGAATTACACTAGTATTAACTATTTGAGCCACAAATCTCTATATTTTGTCTTTATTTATGAAAATGTTTGGCATCTTTCTTTTTCTGTATATAACGTCTTCCACAGATGCTGCACTCATCAGACCCATTAATCACAGGTTCACCTATAGCATTTTTAAACTAGTTCATCGTAATTCTACATTTAACAATCAGAAATACAAAGAATTTAATTTCTAAACACTTCCCACCTGTTATGGTCATCATACATTGCTATTATGCGGCTGGTATTTCAGCTCCTGTTACACTTGTCAGTACTTTTAAAACCTGTACCCAGAACTTTTGAATGTACATGTATTCCCTTTTCAGGTGGCAGAAAGCATCTGCCTTTATATGGCACCTAAAAATGTCTGGTAGTTTTTTAACTTTTGTACTATCAGCCACTACACACCTGGGTATATAATAAGAACTTATAAGGCAGGGGTGGGCAAACGATGGCCTGCCAGCCATTTTAATGCGGCCCTCCAGCTCTCGCTGGGGAGCGGGGTCTGGGGCTTGCCCCACTCTGATGCTCCAGCTGGGGAGCAGGGTTGGGGGCCGCTCCGCGCAGCGCCCACAATCAGCAGCATGTCCCCCTTCTGGCTCCTATGCATAGGGGCAGGCAGGAGGCTCCATTCCATACTCTGCCGCCTGTCCCAACCGCCGGCCAGTAGGAGCTGCAAGGGCGGCGCCTGCAGACAGGGCTGCGTGCAGCAAAGCTGCCTAGCTGTGCCTCCAAGTAGGAGCGGGAGAGGGGACATGCCACTGCTTCTGGGAGCCACTTGAGGTAAGTGCTGCCTGAAGCCTGCACCCGAGCCATTCTCCTGCACCCCAACCCCCTGCCCCAATCTGCCCTCCGAACCCCTCAGTCCCAGCCTGGAGCACCCTCCTGCACCCCAAACCTCTCATCCTCAGCCCCTTCCCGGAGCCAGCCTCCCCCCCCATGACCCAATTCCATGCCCCAGCCCTGATCCCCCTCCTGCCCTTCGGTCCTAACCCAGAGCACCCTCCTACACCCCAAATCCCTCATCCCCACCCACACCCCCAGCCGGAGCCCTCAGGCCCCCCACTCCAGACCCCATCTCCATGCCCCTCAACTCCTCATTTCTGGCCCCACCCCAGAACCTGCACGCCCAGCCCAGAGCCAGTTACCTTCTCCCACACCCCAACCCCAATTTTGTGAGCATTCATGGCCCGCCATACAATTTCAATACTCAGATGTGGCCCTCAGGCCAAAAAGGTTTGCCCACCCACATTATAAGGGCATAAAACTTGATATGTTTGCCAATGCCAGTGAGGTTACAACCAATTTGAAGAAGACTCACTGAATGTTTAAATCATCTCCTACTGGGAAACATGCTGCAGCAATATCTATGAAGTTCCAGGTCTCCCATAAAAGATGTGTTAAAAATGCACTTTAATTAATTTATTCAGTTTTTAGTTTGTCAGGGAAGAGCATAACCTAAGTAGTTTTTTTACATGCAACTTTCTTTTCACTTCAAAGGTTTATCTGTTGTTTTGTATTTTGGTGCTAAAATTTAGAAAAAACTATGAGAAGAATTATGATGTGATGTCCATTTTTTATAGTTTGTGCAAGAATGAGACTACTCTGGTACAGAGCAAGAAGTCTCCCAAATGTAGGCCTTGGTGCACACTAACATTCCCCGGCCTCAGATCCTCTGTGGACTCACATTTGTTATAGAGATGTTAGTCTTTTGGCTGTAATAACGATTTCGGCACATTTTCTGAGAATTCTTCCTGATGTATATTTTTAAGAAGACTTGTTGATCAGATATTGTTGGAATGGATTTCCAAGTCATCTGATTTTTTCTTAATGTTTACAGCTTTTGTTTTCATCTTTGAATTTTTTTCAGTTTCTGTTTCCCAGGAAGTTGATTATTTTCAGTTCCTCCCATATTAGATACAAGCTTAATTACCTTCACTTTGACAATACAATTTCTTCTATTGATTTTTAAAATATTACATATTACTTTGAAGAGTTTGGCCAGACCAAGACCCAATGTTTGTTTCCTCTGGTCTCTATGTCTATGGTGCCAACAATTTAATTGTTTCTCACTACTCTTTTGGGGATAAAATTTGCTTTTTACTATTTTTAAATGGGCAATTTTGTGCCCTGTAGTTGGGGCTGTTAAACATAGTATTTTTTTTTTTGTTGGGGGGAGGCGAGTGTAGCTGCAAGCTGTGATTATATTTTATTATCATCATGGTCAAAGTGGCTCCAGGGAGGGCATCTCAGACATCTCCTCAGATAAGTTTTTCCATGAGGTTTACTATTTCAGTGCTTCAGTACCAGCTTAGCTGTTGATACTAGATCCCAGCCAGAGAAGAGATGCAAGGAGGGGCTGGACATTAAGAGAAGGGTGGTCCACTTCCACTAACAGTTGCGACTGTGGCTAGCAGGTTGTCTATGTGTATGTGTAATGCATCAATCACAGAGTATTATGAACCTTCCAGTGCTGCTTTGAGCGAAGAACACAAAGGTGATGGCTTCACCCGTAGTCAGTGGAATTATGCCTGTGTGAATTTTGGCTAATATTTTAAAAACTTCTCCAACTAAGAGTTTCTTAATGTGCTCATGCTAAATAAGATTATTATGGTCTTTGGAGGTGCCCGGGATTAAATTTAAATCTTCAATCTTAGTTTCTATGGAACCTAGACTAACTGGGAAGAAATTCATATGCCCATGCATTCACGGATGAGTGTCAGGTCTGAGTTGCCCTAAACATAACTGCAGGCAATTTTCTGGTGGTATAGTTTCATTAAAACTCCGTACCCTATCCTCATTGACTCTCTATCTTGCTCTCAATCTAATTATCCTCAGAATCAATAACTAAACACTGCCACACTTGCCTTAGTCTTTCTCTAATAAGATTCCACAACAGTTGACTAACTTAACTGCCATACTATCCTCACAACTTCTTTACAACTTACCCAAGAAAGGTTTCACATGTATTGCAAAAACACACTTTCCACAAGTAGTGCCAAGTTTCCCATTTTCTAACTGACTACCCAAACCAGCAGGCTCACATGTGTTTTCCCTGGTCTAGTGACTATTCATGAATGACAGTGAATCATCACTGTGCCAGGGAAAGCACATGAGAATGAGCCATGAGTGATGTAGCTAGATCAGTGGTTCTCAACCTATTTACTAGGGCTGTCAATTAATCTCAGTTAACTCGTGCGATTAACTCAAAAATTTACTGTGATTAAAATTTATCTTAATAGCTCTGTTAAACAATACCAATTGAAATTTATTAAATATTTATGGATCTTTTCTACATTTTCAAATACATTGATTTCTATTACAACACAATACAAAATGTACAGTGCTCATTTTATATTTTTTATTACAACCTAATACAAGTACTGTAGTGCAATCTCTTTATCATGAAAGTTGAACTAAAATGTAGAATTATGTACAAAATATAACTGCATTCAAAAATAAAAATGTAAAACTTTAGAACCTACAAGTCCACTCAGTCCTACTTCAGCCAATTTCTCAGACAAAAAAGTTTGGTTACAATTTACAGGAGATAATGCTGCCCACATCTTGTTTACAATGTCACCTGAAAGTGAGAACAGGCATTTGCATGGCACTGTTGTAGCCAGCATCACAAGGTATTTATGTGCCAGATGCGCTAAAGATTCATATGTCCCTTAATGCTTCAGCCACCATTCCAGAAGACGTGTGTCCCTGTGGATGACTGGTTCTGCTCAATAACGATCCAAAGCAGAGTGGACCGATGTATGTTCATCTTTATCATCTGAGACAGATGCCACCAGCAGAAGGTTGATTTTCTTTTTTCGTGGTTCGAGTTCTGTAGTTTCCACATCGGAGTGTTGCTCTGTTAAAACATCTAAAAGCATTCTCCACACCTCATTCCTCTCAGATTTTGGAAGGCACTTCAGATTCTTAAACCTTGGGTTGAGTGCTGTATCTATTCTTAGAAATCTCACATTGGCACCTTCTTTGCATTTTTTGTCAAATCTGCTGTGAAAGTGTTCTTAAAATGAACATGTGCTGGGTCATCATCTGAGACTGCTATGACATGAAATATATGGTAGAATGGGAGTAAAACAGGACAGCACTCCCCCAAGGAGTTCAGTCACAAATTTAATTAATGAATTTTTTTTTTTAAACTAGCAATCAGCATGTAATCATGTCCTCTGGAATGGTAGCTGAAACAGAAAGGGGCATATGAATGTTTAGCATATCTGCCACTTAAATACCTCGCACAGCACTTTTGTAGCTGGCATTGCAAATGCCTGTTCTCGCTTTCAAGTGACATTGTAAATAAGAAGCAGTCAGTATCTCCCATAAATGTAAACAAACTTGCTTGTCTTAGCAATTGGCTGAAGAAGTAGGACTGAGTGGACTTGTAGGCGCTAAAGTTTTACAGTTTTGTTTGAGTGCAGTTATGTAACCAAAAAAAAATCTACATTTGTAAGTTACACTTTCATGATAAAGAGATTGCACTACAGTACTTGTATGAGGTGAATTAAAAATAGTATTTTTACACTGCAAATACTTGTAATAAACAGTGAGTACTGTACACTTTGTATTCTGTGTTGTAACAGAAATTAATATATTTGAAAATGTAGAAAATCTATAAATAAATGGTATTCTATTATTAACAGTGGGGTTAATCATAATCAATTTTTTTAATCGCTTGACAGGCCTACTATTTAGAAGTGTGGGCTTTATCTAGTGCTACCTGTATGGCCCTGAGGATGTCACATAGGCCACAAGTTGAGAACCACTGAGCTATATCAATCTAGTTTTCAGGTGTACAGTAGGCCTCGGCTAGGATGTGGGGCATCCACCTTCAAAGTCCCTGCTCCGATGACTATAGAAAGTGGAACCGCTTCTGAGGAGAAATGGAAAGAGCCCACTACCAGGAGATCTCCTTACCTAGCACTGTATGAGGTCTAAATTCAGATCCTTGAACCTGCGCGGGAGAGCTCCCTAACCACTTGGCAGGAGGCTGCTGCTGCTTTTCTCAAAATGGCCAAACCAAAAAGACGGGATCTGAGTGCAACAAACCCTTGTTTCAATGTGACCAAGTATTTTCAACCTTTCATTTTGCCAAAAAAAAGGCATTGTTGGTTTGCCTTGACAGACCCCGTGAACAGCTCAGCCTGGGCAAGGAACCAAAACTCAACGGGGCCCAGCTCCCCCTTAGACAGGCGACCCTTGCCAACGCGGGTAGCTGGAGGGCCCCGTTACTCAAAAAGCCAGCGGACCAAGTTCTTCACCCTCTGCAGGCGCGTGCTCCGGGGCCGGCGGCTCCCGCCTGGTAACGCCTTCAGCCCCACCCGCTGTCCGAGCGACAAGGGCACACGAGGAACGGGGCTGGCTGCCGCTCCCGTAACGCCGCCCAAGCCGCTTTTCTCGGCAGCGGCCGCCCCGGTGCGGCCCGCTAGGCCGAGCCCGCGTGGGGTGGTGGCCCCCGTGGGCGGCGCGCAGCACGTGCCCGGTGGGTGACCCGCGGAACAGGCCGCACCCAGGAGGCACGCCCGGCCGGGGCGGCGCAGCGGCCCCCCCCCGCGGAGCGACCGGCCCTATCTGCAGAGGGAGGCGTCAGCACGAAGCAACTCCCCCCGGGCCCAGCCCTTCCTCGCCGCTCGTCTCGACACCCCCCCCACGGGGCTACGGGAGGCTGGAGAGAGAAAAACCGCCACGGCCACTGAGCACCCGATGTCGAGGCTAGAGCGTCCCCACGCCGGGACTCTCTAACAGGCACCGCACGCTCTTCTCTATGGTTGGGCCCGCCTCCTGAGTCTTTGGCTGCGAGTGCACAGGACGGAGCGGTTGTGTAGGTGCCGCCATGATGAACAGCGGTGGAATCGGGGTGCCGCTCGGCTTCCCCTTGGGCCCTACTTCCGTCATCCAAGTCACCAACCTCTCCTCGGCGGTAACCAGCGAGCAGATGCGGACGCTCTTCGGCTTCCTGGGAGAAATCGAGGAGCTGCGCCTTTATCCCCCGGAGTAAGTGAGGCCTTGCCCGGGCCATAGAGAGGGGGAGGAAGAGAGAGGCCCAGAGAGGCTTGTGGGATGCCGCAGAGGCCATCTTGGTGATGGGCGGCCAGCCCAGCTCCATGAAGATGGAGTCACGTGACCCCATTTATTTGTGCTCCTGCCACTCTGCGGGAAGGAATGTTGCCCGAAGCTAAGATGGCGGCCGCCGTCCGTGGCCTGGAACCTGCCCCTCCCCCAGCCACGGGGAGGGAGCCGCGGGGTCTCTGTTGTCTCCGATCCAACCCAGAGCGGCCTCTGTAGCCTAGTAACTGGAGTTGGGGCTGTAGGCTCCCCACGCATCAAGTGCCTTGGGCTCAGCGACTGTAGAAAAGTGAAACACAGTCGTCCCCCGCCTGCTGTTCCGGAGAGTGCCTGGCCTGAGACTTCCCTGAGCCCCCTAGTGAGGGGAGCCCCCTCCTCCCTACACCGGCACTCTGGCCCTTGCCCTGAAAACTTCCTCCGCTCTGGTCTCTGTCATGAATCCTCCTCTACCACTCCCACCTTCCGTAAGGGGACTCTTCACTGTACCTACTATCCCCAATGAGGGGAGCCTCCTCCCCACTCTAACCCTGGCCCTAAACCCTTCCCCAGTGAGTGGAGCTGTTCTTCCCCCCCCCCCCTTCTCGATGGGGGTGGGGGGAAGGGAGCTCGTTTCTTACTCCCTCTCTGGGACTAAACTAAAGCCCACTCAAATGGGGGAGTCTTCTCTCTACCACCTGGCGCTAAATCTCACTCCGGTGGTGGAGTCTCATCTCTTGTTTATAAAGAATATAAGTTCAGAAGTAGTTCCTGGTATTACATCTGTCCCTAAGCCCACCTAGCAGTTTTTGTTGTTTTACAGTCTTGGTTTGTTTTTGTTTTTAAAGTGTTGCTCTGTAAAAGGCCCACACAAAAGGGAAAGTGATTATCACTTTAAACAGTAAAGGAGTACTTGTGGCATCTTAGAGACTAACCAATTTATTTGAGCATAAGCTTTCGTGAGCTACAGCTCACTTCATCGGATGCATACTGTGGAAAGTGTAGAAGATCTTTTTATACACACAAAGCATGAAAAAATACCTCCCCCCACCCCACTCTCCTGCTGGTAATAGCTTACCTAAAGTGATCACTCTCCTTACAATGTGTATGATAATCAAGTTGGGCCATTTCCAGCACAAATCCAGGGTTTAACAAGAGTGGGTTTGTGTGTGTGGGGTGGGGTGGGGTGGGGTGCGGGGAAGAAAACCTGGATTTGTGCTGGAAATGGCCCAACTTGATTATCATACACATTGTAAGGAGAGTGATCACTTTAGATAAGCTATTAGCAGCAGGAGAATGGGGTCGGAGGAGGTATTTTTTCATGCTTTGTGTGTATATAAAAAGATCTTCTACACTTTCCACAGTATGCATCCGATGAAGTGAGCTGTAGCTCACGAAAGCTTATGCTCAAATAAATTGGTTAGTCTAAGGTGCCACAAGTACTCCTTTTCTTTTTGCGAATACAGACTAACACGGCTGTTACTCTGAAACTTTAAACAGTGAAACTGGCCTTGCACTAAGTGTTCTGAAATGATTACAGTAAACAAGATTGAAAAAAGAGAAAAATAACCATCTCTTCTAACTGTAATAGTCTTGAGTTTTATGTGAATGTGTAACCGCAGTAAGTAAAACATTTTCAGAGATTAGCATGATTTTATTTTTGATGGTTTAAGTTGAATGTGTCCCTTTTAAATATTTGCTGGGCTCGTGAGTAGGACTTCACAGAGCAAACAGGAAAAGGAGAAGGCACTTTTTCCAGATGACATATCTGTCCTTTGAAACTGAAAGTGTGTGTATCACTGAACGTTTGAAAGCTATAAATAGGGATGAGGGGGGAAGGAAGAGGGGAAATAAGGATTCTTCCAACGAAATAATTTGGACTAGAAAATTTCTGAAAGGACAAAATGCAGGAGGTAGTCTGTTTTTAAAACAAAAATATGTGCTTCTTTAATAAGTATCTGTAGGTTCGTGAAATTATTTTTATCTGTTACCAAGCTATATTAGGTGGTGACAGTTTGAATGAGGAATGTTTAAAAAAATCCAAAATGAGATTTAAGATCTTATTGATATACGTACAGTACAATTTTCTATACCCACAAGGAGAGACTTAAAATAGCCTTAACATAGCACTTATATGCTATATTTTATTTTAAGTGCTCTACAGATATTTGCTAATTAATATGCTAATTAATTTGCTAATTAATAATTAATTCTTCCAAATGTATGGTTGGAGATAGCGGTTGATCTCATTTATTATTGTTGTAAGATTTTAACAAAGTAGATGCTCCTTTCACACCACAGAGAAATCTGTTTATGCAATATGTAGTATATATTTAAAACTTAAGATTTGCTGTGGTAGTGGATTTCAGTTTAATTTACATGTACATATTAAAAGGATTTAAAGCTCAGCTATGGTGTATCTATTCTATGTTCAGAAATGTTTTAGGATAGAGGATATATTCCCATTTTTCTTTAATTTTGTTTTAGATTTTATTTTATTTGAACCACTTTTAAAATAAAAAAAAAAATTACATAATCTAGTGCCAAATGGTACTGGAGTTCCAAAACTTGACATGGTTTGCAATTAATATTTTAGATAAAACTGAGGATTTTAACTAATTTATCTTATTGTTGACAATTAAAATAAATTAAAAGTAGGCTTTCTACACACAGCAGTAATTTGAAAAGCACTTTTTTAAACATTAAGACAAGCACAAGGAATAAAATATATATGCATTAGTAGCAAAAACCTATTTAGGAAAAAATCCTTTCTGTTAACAAAATGACAGAAACAAATGTCAGACAGGAATTCAGTACAGAATGTTGAGAATACTTTTCTGCTTTCTTTTTGTTACATATTTATTGGGTTTAGATTTTAGAATGGAAGTACATTTCCAAGAATCTTCCTCAAAGCTTTAAGAACAAAAAAGTGCACACTATGAATAGTAAAGGGTCACTGTTAAGCAGTTTGAGTTCAAAATAGAATAATATTTTAATAGATATTTTTTAAAAATTCAAGTGATAATTTTTATTTGAATTGAAAAATTTTGCTGTAGCAATTTCAGTGGCAGTGTGGCAGCATGGTACTGCCCCCGAGAAGAAGAAAGTGAAATTTACTCAAAAAAGTGAAGCTGATTATTTTGTCTTCAGTTTCCAAGTAAAATAAATAAATAAATCTAACAGAAATGATGATTAAAAAAAATTAGATTTTAAAATACCTGGTTTCAGTTGTCTGAGCTATTGGTGCATAGATGAAAAAATAACTTTTTTTTTTTAAAAAAAAGTTTCATTGTTTTAACTTGACAGTGCCCTTTTGAACTCCCATACTTTCAGATGGAATTCACAATATCAGTTATCTTAGAAATCACCTGTCCACTATGTGGCAATTAAGATCTTCAGGATCACTCTTGTTTGTAGTTCGTGGAATTGTGTTATGTCCAACAACAGTGATAGGGCATTCTCAGTTAAGGGGCTTACTTTTGGAATAAACAGTCTCTGACATGCCAGAGCCCAGATTTGATGACTTTTAGGAAACAACGCTCTTTTCAGTTAGACCGCCAAGTGAATGGCATAATTCAGTGCATAGAATAAGTGAACCCTAGGTTCTGCCACGAATAGGAACTCTTAAGTGACAAATATTTAGATAAATTTTTTGAAGTGCTGTTTCACACTGAAAAGTGACAGTTTAAAAATGGCTCTGGGGGTTTCTATTATTAGTTTTATTATGGTAGCGCGTAGAGGCCCTACTTGAGATCAGGACCCTGTTGTACTAGGCACTGTAGAAACACATAGTAAATGACAGTCCCTATTCCAAAGAGCTCACGACCTAACTGGACAACACACAAAAGGGGTACGAGTAAGGGAGAATTATTATCCCCATTTTCTGGATGAAGAAATGAGGCAGAGAGACAGATTAAGTAATGTGCTCAAGATATCTCAGTAATACTCATTTTCTGTCATTGAAACCATACTGAATGTTTAGTTTGCAAATAAAAAATATTTTAATGTCCAGATTTAACAAATTAAATCTCAACTCCGAGAGTCAACCTGGGTTTTTTCCCCATGTATGCATCCTCTCCAGTAATAGTTTCTGCAGGATAAATTAGGGCTAAAGAGGTGCTTCTGTAATCCCATTGCCTTTAACGGGTTTGCACATATGAAATTGATTTTAATTTCTGTTCCAGTTCTGCTGGTGATGCACAAGAATTGCTATAATCCATCTCTCTCACTCTCAGCTATGGAAGCTATACAGTGCTAATAGTAATAAAATTCAATACAAGTTAATTTTAAATCGAAGTCTTGCAGTTGGATCCGTGCGGACACAAGGGTCCACCTGTGAAGATCTTATTACAGGATCAATGTTGTGATCTCTAGAGCCTCAATTCTGGAAGATTGTTGTTGGGTGTTTTGTGTGTGTGTGTGCGTGGAAGGTGCAGCAGCCTTCATATATGGACAGAGCATGCAAGGGTCTATCTGCATACAAGAAGTTACATGATTGGAGCTCAAAGTAAATATGATTCCTAACATGAATCAGGAGCAGATCAGTTGAATAAGAAAGTATAGAGTATAATTCTGTTTTAATGGTTGTCAGGCACCCAGATGTCTCAGCAATGGATACCATATAAAAGTACCTAAATAACATTAAGTACAGCAAAACCCCAATTTTCTAATCAGGAATCAAAATATTATGGCCTCTTCCAGATGATTAAATATTTATTACATAAATTATAAAGTAAATCTCCACTCCACCCCCACCCCTCCCATCATTTTTGGTCATAGAGGCTCAACTTAAATGTATACCTCTGTCAAGGTTCCTTCCCCACTCTGAACTCTAGGGTACGGATGTGGGTACCTGCATGAAACCTCCTAAGCTTACTTTTACCAGCTTAGGTTAAAACTTCCCCAAGGTACAAACTATTTTACCCTTTGCCCTTGGACTTTCGCTGCCACCA